GGTGTTCGAATTTGGAATGCTTTCATGAATGACAACAACTTCTTCCGAGATGAATGTTGCAAAACACTGAGCTTTGACCGCACACTTGGCTTCCCAGGTGAGGGCGAGGGACCGAAATGGACCATCATTTCCGCCAACGTTGATTCGTTTACGACAAATGCCAACTGTCTCCATTGGGAGGCAAACACTTTCCTGCTTCAAGAGGCCCGAATTGCAGATTCGAATCTTGTGGATGCCCAACGAAAAGCTGCCCTTTGCAACTTTCATGTCTTTTGTTCACAACCACTTCAAAAAGTGAGGGCCAGCAACGGCAACTACCGGATACCCTCAGGGGGTACAGCCACATGCGCCTGCAGAGAGGTTACGCAACTTTTCAATGCGAAAGATGATGTTTCTGGAGTGTGGTCACTGTTGCGCAGTACTGCTCGTGTCACAGCCACGTGGCACCAGGTCTCTGCAACTGTCAAGTTACTTGCCTTTAACTTCTACGCCATTGCGAATGCGGCCTCGGAAAGAGCAAAATTTGAGCGCAATAATGAGTTGCTTCAGCAGATCTTTACTGTGGCTGCTCAGTATGGAGACATTCCCATTGTGATTGCTGGAGATTTTCAGATGGAGCCTGGAATGTACCCATCGGTCCAGTTGGCATTGGACCACCGGGGTTGGGCTGACCCACTGCTGCAGTCGGATGAGCAAGGCACGATCATTCGGCCGGCCACGTTTTTTCAACACAACGCTCCGACTGATGCTGATGGCCAGTCATCCATTGACGGCATCCTCGTGAACAGGTCAGCACTTACAGCGCTGGTTGGGATGGAAGTACTCCATCATCCAGATAGGCAGCACAGACCTGTTCGTGCCACATTTGCCTGGGATAGGATCCAACAAACTGGTACAGTCCTTCAGCGTGCAGCCAAACTAAACATTGACTAGATTCACAAAGCTGACCCCCATGATCCTGGATGCCCAGTTCATGCGTTGGGGGAGCAACTTTGGCAGAACTTTGATGATGAGTTCACCGGTGCTGCAACAGCAGATGCAAAATGGGAAGTATACAATACCTATGCCACACAACTGCTGATCCTCAATGGGGCATACTGGGAGAAGGGTCCTCGTGTTCGGGGTTGCTTGCCTAAGTTCCAGACTGTCAGACGCTGTCCCCATCAGGAAGAACAGGGCAATGGTGCTTCCCCTTACCTGCTTCTTCTTCGGGCCATTCTTAGATCATTGAGGGAGTTGGAACTCGCTTTCATCGGGCTGAGAATGGCGGTGGTGATGCCCGCACTTTTCGCAACACACAACATCGGCTTCTTCGGCGCCTTAAGATTGCTAATCTGGTTCCATACACTGTTCGGCAGCTCTTTGTGCATGACCTGCCACATCTGATTGAGATTACGCTTCATGCCTCACAGCAAGAGCTCCGGAGACTGAAGTTGACAGCTATTCAGAAGTGGCGAGATTCGATGAAGAATGCCACCACATCGATGACCATCGGGAAAATTGTCTATCAATTCCTCAAGCGGAAAGGGAGGGAACATCATTTATGACCCACAAACGGCCATGGATACAATTGCAGCCAAGTGGGATTCAGTGTTTTCTGTCAATGCAGATCATGAGCCTGAAATGATGATCCTCAAGCAGGTTTGGCCGTACATCCAGGATAAAGGTCGAGCAATCGCATTGCCACCAATTGATGAGCACCAGCTATGGCATCAAGCTGCCAGAAGGAGGCCAGATGCTGCTGCAGGGCTCGACGGATGGCTGACGAGGGAAGTACAAGCCCTCCCACCTTCAGCTTTTCGACCAGTGGCAAAGCTTTTCAATATGATTGAGGCGGGGCAGATTGACTTCCCTACAGCGCTGACACAGGTAAGAATGGTCATTCACAACAAAGATGGGAGTGATGCACCACTGTCCAAAAGGCTTATCGCCCTACAGTCAGTCTTCACACTTCTTTACACTGGCCTTCGTTTTTTGCAGCTCCAGCAATGGCAACAAGATGTAATGCCATGGCAACTGAAGGGAGGTATCAAGGTCGCCACATGGCTGAGGTCCACATGACGATACAGCTTGAGATTGATTCTGCGCACAGTTTTCAAGGGTCGTTCTCTGGCCTCAAGTTGGACAAATCAAAGTGCTTTGACCGCTTGATTCCCAAGCTCTGCGCGGCCCTGATGTTAGCGCTTGGCCTACCACGTGGATTGGTCTGCGGATTTCTGGCTCTCTATACCAGAATGACACGATTCCTTTCATTCAAACAATGGACTCGATCGCAACCAATTTCAACGGCCAATGGCGTTGCACAAGGCTGCTCACTCAGTTTGCTATGCATCAACCTCCATATGGCGGTTTGGGCTTGGCTAATTTCCAGTATTGATGGGGTGGACTTTCGAGCCTTCATAGACGATACTTATCTCTGGACACGGCTGCCCTCCATTGATAAGTTGGTTGCTGCAGTACGTGCCACGGAACTGTGGGACTCGCTTTGTGGACAATTCCTGAATGCAGGGAAATGCAAATTTTTTGCTACATCCAGTGCTTTGCGGAGATCGATGAGATTAGCGTTCCCGCAGATGAAAGCTGTTGAGGTGGTAAACATCCTTGGAGCTCACCTCCAAACAACCAAGAAGAACGTGGGCAGTTTCCCCACTACCAAACTCCAGGCTGCCTTACGAGACTGTGAGGCGATTCGGTCATTGCCTTGTGACAGCTTCTAGAGGGCCCAGATCCTGGCCACGAAAGTCCTGCCACAGATTGCGTTCGCCCCGCAGCTCAACTTCCTTCCAAAAAGGCTCCTTGCAAGGTTACAGTGTGCCATTGCAGATGCTCTGTGGCAAAACAAGCCCATGTGGCGATCGAAACACCTTTTGCTGTGTGTCATCCACAAAGCGCACAAGCTGGATCCTGTCCTATTCAGGGCAGTTGCCACGATTACTGAATCTGCCCGCTTCCTACAATCTTCTGTTGGAGCCAGGCGCCAATGGCAGCAGCTGTATGAACAGGATCAATTAACAGCTCAAGCTTGGATGACGCAGTTTGGTCAAGCATGTCACATTCTGGACATTGAATGGTGTAGCCCCTTCTGGTTTTCAGTTTTTGGAGCCCCGCCAGTCCACTTCCTTGACTTTTCGGCCAAAGACTTGAAGTGCATTTTGAAAAGCCTAGCGGCCCACAAGTGTTACCTGACAGCCTGTCAGACGCCACGCAAGGACATTCAGACAGCAGTTGGTTTCCTTGACCTTGCTATGACCCTTCTGCTAAAAAGAAACTTGCCGGCATTCCAAATCCGGGGTTTTCCTTTCTTTGTCATTGGGAGAGTGCATTGACTGGCTGCAACCTGACGGCAGATCGTCTTGCGGCTTCAGGCCTTATCGAGACCCCCAATTGTCGGTGTTGCTATGCGGAAAAGGAGTCCCTGCAGCACTTCGTACAAGGGTGTTCAGCGTTACCTGCAGACCTACAACAACCGGGGTCGAGCTTCTACTTTGGTCCAAATTTTGCCATGCTGGGAGTTGCAGAGATCCCACTTGAGATTATCAGAGAAAAGATGAAGGTTTCTACTCCATCTGACCTCCAAGTTCACGAATGGCAACCGCCACTAGTGACGTGCCAACATCTCTGGACAGATGGGTCGGTACAGCTTGCCCAGTATCCCTGGCTTACAATGGCGTCGTTTGCCGTGGTAGCAGAAGATACATCCTTGATTTCCTCCGGCAGGGTATGGCACTGGAGACTCTCTAGCTACAGTGCAGAATTATGGGCCATTTTGGTTGCGTTCTCAACTGCTGCCCAACCCATTGTTGTGCACACAGACTCACTGACTATTGTGAAACAGTTTGCAGAACTACAGCGCCTTGACAAGGTCCAGCTTGAGTGGACGCATTCACAATGGTGGGGCTTTTTGCTGGCCCTCATTCACCTCGGGCTGTCTTTGATACACCCCTGCAACTGGTTTGGTGCCCGGCACATTTGCTAGAACATTTGCCAATTGAAATGATCTCAGACCAGCAGGCTGTTGCGGCTGGGTCCACGCTGCGGGATATCCACCTAAACCGGAAGGCGGATGAGTTTGCCAAGAAGCATATTCATGAAGCAGCGACTAAGCTGAAGGTAGAGCTTCGTACGAAAGAAGTTGACGTCTTTGCGCGCCAACTATGGCTTTCCAAACTGAACAGAGTTTGTAAGAAGCCCGAACCAGTACCAGTAGCTGCACCTGCGGTTAACACTGCACCCGCAGAGCGGCTAACTTCGAGACAACTCTGTCCCCGGTGGGCGTGGGACAGCCAGCCTGCTGAATACACTTGGCAAGCTTGCATTGATGAAACAACGAAAGGTCCAGAGAAGCCACCTCTTTCTGGTGCAAACTTTAAGACTTTCTTGCAGTTCATGAAATCCCTGAGGTGGAAGCTTGGTGATGGCTGTGCGTGTTCAGTCTTTGAGCTTGCTGCCGCAGCATTTCTGCAAGGGTGGAGGTTTGAGCTTCCAGCCGGTACGATCTGCACTCCCCAATCGTATGCTTCGATCATCCGGGCTGCGATTTCCTTCTGCAAGACCAAGCAAGTCATTGTCGCCCCCTTGCTTTTGGACAAGGGAAACAAGTGTAACGGGAAGACATTCCCTAAAGGTGCATTTCTTGGTGCTCAGGTCTATCGTGGGGCCAAAGCCACCCCGCATTCATGGGCGATACCGTTCGACTCACTGCTGTGAGCTTTGTTCTATGGACTCCAGACCCCTGACGAGGAATGCTCTTGGGTCGCCAGTGACCTCGTCCGATGGCATGCGAGCAAAAGGAAGCTCCCCCCGCCCTCAGGAGGGGGGGCTTCCTTGAAGGAGCGTGAGCTGTCCTGCGTCCATATATAGTAGCGTCCTAGCTAGGAGCAAACACGTTTGTCCCTTACAGTAATTCCAGGCGCCTCAGGGCCACAGGCTAAAACAATGTTCTGTCACAATTCCATTTCTTTTCCTCTCCATTGACCATGGACTTGATTGACCCTCCTCTCCTCTGCTGCCATTTGGGCAGCTTCATGCTTTTGTTCCTGCAAGTGCTCAACAGCTGGCTTCGAAGGTATACTGTATCGGTGAACAAAAATCATGAAAAAGCTTTAGAATTTGACCAACCACTTAGAAGCCTCGCTCTTGCTTTATGTGCTTCTATGATTTATGAGCTTTAACCGCTTAAACCTGCCGGAACCCCCAAAAGAGATATGTTCCCTGACTTGTGAGTCATAAGAAATCCAGTCCAAGGATTGTCTCCCCCTCAACCTGTGGTTTTGGCGTTCCTGATTACTGCCACCATCTGTCAAGATGTTGATTGCTCTGGGGGATGTGACATGTCCATGTCGGTCCTCTCGTTGCAGTTGCTTTTGTCGTGCTTCCTTCTCTTTCTGCTCTTTGAGTTCTTCGCGTTCTCGCTCCAAGGCTTTCAAAGCTTCGCGCTGACGATTCAGTTCCTGGCGGAAGGACCCTACGTTCTATTTGAGAATTGGCACCTGTAATCAAGACTGTATGCCTTCAAACTGGTGCCTCCTGCACCTGCTTCGCCTCTCGCTCATGGGCCTCTTGGCTCTCAAACTCCTCTTGTCGCAAACGTGCTAAGCGAGCCTTCTCCTTGAGCACAAACGTTGGTCCACTGCAAATTGTTGCATTTCATACCATTCAGCTACAGTTTTGCAAAACTACAAGCATTTACAACCACCTGCGTGACACTACAGTTTGGCAACCAATTGAAACCACTTCACTGTATCAAGTCTGCTGATACCGGCTCACCATCATGAGACTAGTAAATGAAGAACGCCAATGAAAAACCAATTGGCCTCTTCAATTGCTCTTAGCTCTTCCTTCTGCTTCTCCAGGTCTGCTCGTCGCTTTGCAGCCTCTGCCTAGGAGTGTGGTGGGCACAGCGAAGGCGCAGACGATACAAATGTCAGAAGGGAAAGCACTCGTCCAGGTTGTCTGCCGCATGGATGAAAGAACGAAATCACGAATGAGTATCACCAGTTTTGTATGAGCCTCTTGTGCTTCCCTCTGTCGCCGAAGTTCCTCTCTCAGCTGCTCCAACTCCTCCTAAGCACGTGAAGGCGACATGCTCAGAAATTTCTAGAATGTAGATCAATTGCAATGATGATTCGGCAAGGGGGATTGAACGAAACCCAAAGGAAAACATAAGAACAAATGCAAATGCACGCTGTCTCAAAAAAAACATTGGCTCACTCTCCGCCCTTGGTCACCCTGTCCTTCTCCTTCCGTGCTAGTTCTTCCTGTCTGGCACGTTCCTTGTCCATCTCCTGACGAAGGGGAAGACAACAAAAGGGCCCGGAATGCACTGTTCAAGCGTGTTACTCATTGCCCGTGTGCAACTTGTATCATCTTGTATCTACAAGGGGCTACTAGTAGCGATGCACTTGTTACTAGAACCATGCGACAAGTTCGTGTCCCATGGCGATTGGCACCCCGACCGTGGCAAAGTTTCATTTGTGCACGCATGAGTGACATGTGTTGGGAGAGTCGCGGTCCTTGGTTGCTTCGGCATACGGAGTTAGGTCAAATTGATTTGTCTAATCTTGATGAAGCTGCGGTCGAGCTTGCAGATCACAAGGTGCGAGAAGGCTGGCGTGCAATTCGATCACTGGAGCCACTGGAAGAAACAGAACAGGGACGAACATTATTTGAGGCTCAGTGGAATCTCGGGTCTCCACTGCACGGCAGCTTTTCGCTTCTGCGGCTAACGGCCACCAGAGGGCTGTGATGCTTGGTGCTGCTCACTCCACCGCCTGTTATGACAGGATGCGTGGCCAGGAAATTCGTGAGATTTGTCCGCTTTGTCGTGAACGGATCCCTCCCACTTGGGAACATGTGGCACTGTACTTCCGATGTTTTGTTCCATGGCCGGCCTGATGTCCCGGATGATGATTTCCAAACCCGTCTTGGCTGGCCCACACGTCGTTGTGATGCCTATGATGGATCTGTGCTGCAGCATTTGGCCCGGGTTCGGGCCAATGTGCGTGAAACCATGAATCGAACCAAGGTTGGCTGTGGTGTCCTTCAAGGTCTTGCACTTCGTTGAGGCATCCAGTCAGTGGAGCCCTTACAGTGATAAAACAAGATGCAAGGGGGGCTGACAAAACTTGAGGAGTGAGGAGCGAGAACCAGCCGTCCCAGTTTTCGACTGACAGGATTCGGTCTGGCCTTGTCCTGTGTCAAGGGCCTTTTGGCTAGAACCCGCTTGTGGGAGTACTCCCTTTTGCCCCGAAACGGCCCTCCTCCTCAAGGTCTGTTTCCAGAAACTTGGTGCTAGCAGCTAGCACCCACTTTCTCAGAGGTGTCCTTTCTTGCCTCGAGACAGCCTTTCAACACACCGTAAAAGGTCAGAGAAGCGGGCTTCCAAAATTGACAAGTCATTGTTGCCGCGTTCCACTTTGTCAGGGGCCTCCTCACTAGAACCCGCTCTTGGCAGGTATCCCGATACCCCTGCTAAGCGCCGACACAGAACCTTCGTGTAGCACCCACTTACTCACAGGTGCCCGAGATAGTCCTCAAACACGACGGTGGTGGACCAACCCAGAAATGCTTAAGGGCTTTTCTTCGACGCTATACATCTAGATCAAGATCGTTGTAAATCACGCCATTTTTCTTTTCACGCATGGCTTGACTCGACGAACAAGCGAACATGCTAGGTTTTCCAAAAGGCCTGCTCTACCATTAGCTTTGGCAGTCATGGAGCGCAAATCGCAAATATGAAAAACTGAAGAAGCAATTCAATACATGCCGCCGTGCCCCGTTGATGATGCAAAGGGTGCTAGCATCAACTGTTGCGGCACCAATCGCATCACCAAGGCCGTCGTAGCGGGAACTCTTACTGGAAAACTCTGTTTTTCGCCCTCAACTACCCCACACACACTTATAGAAGTGCGTACTGATGTGAATGCGGTGCCACACGCCAGCCTAAGAAGCCAAATCCTGAAAAACCAGGTGAGGAGGCCTGAGCGCCTTTAGTTACAGGCCAGAAGTCAAACTCCACGATGCGACAAGCCGACAGGATGACGGCGTAACGTGCGTGACTGCAGATGCATTAGTACTTTACAAAAAGATTATTTTTTTGCAGGTACGTCCAGCTGGCCAAGCTGGATATCCCACCAGATTGCATAGCTTTGTTAGACACGGTCTGCAATCTGGTGCCGTGTCCCCCTGCTGAACAAAGAAAGGAAAACAAAACACAATCCAAAATGATCCCTGTGACTACAAGGGGCACACACACACACACACGCCTCCTCAAGGGGAGGCGCTCCTACCTAGTAGTGAGGCCAGGAAAGGACAAGAAGGTGTTCCTAGCTACGACACAAGCGTCCAAGGACACACCAAGAGAAGAGAAGGGTTCCCAGCTATGACGAAAGCATCCAAGGACACCCAAACAAGAAGAAGGGAAAGGAAAGGAATGAGAAAAGAGAGAGAGAGAGAGAGAGCGAGAGAGAGAGAGAGAGAGAGGGAAAGAGAAGGAAGAGGACAGGTGTTCCCAGCTACGAACAAGCGTCCAGGGACACACTAGGGAGAAGGGGGTGAACCTGAGTGTTACATTCAGGAACACCCCACAAACGAAGTGGGAAGAGAAGGGGTGGGGGGAGGAAGGGTGACTAAGCTCTCGACAGGTTCCAACAAAATGAAAATGACAAGGGTTCAGGGATATCAACACCAAACAGCCACCACAACCTACGGAGTGGGAGGTGTTCAGAAAGATACCCAATTGTATGGAGAACCCTGGCACGGGTGGGTACACGACTGGGAGTCCCGGAAGGATTGGTCCCCGTGGTGTAGTTGTGGAGTGTGCGAACGAAGGGAGCACGTTACGGCAACCTATCGAAATGCACGAAAGCACGAAATGCGACGGCACGGCGGGCGAAACGACCGACGTGCGCGAGAGCTGAAACAAACGCGGACGCGCCTGTTTCTTGAGCCAAAGCAGGCGTCGGAGTGAGACGATGTTCGAATGTCCGACGACCTAAACAACTGTACATGAACCCTTCATGACATGGCAAGTTAGGGGTTACCACTGTGCGTGATATTTTGATTCCCCCCTCGCCGCTTTGCGTGTCATGGGTTCACTGTACATGCAATAATTACCGCGCATGAAGCAGCGGCTTTTGATTCTACATTAGATCCTAACGAAAAGCTTCGGTCCCTAAAGGACGGCTGTGGCTCGCGGATGTCGGTTCGAATGCCAAGGAGGCATAGGGCCTTATACCACTTTTGTGGTGGCAGGGTATCTGCGGCTTGTTCGTTAGTATCTATGTATTGGATCGTTATACTTGGATCATCAAGGCACTCCTTTAATGAGGATAAGTTGATTTTATGCGTTCGGCCTATGTGGCGAAGCTTGGGGGAATACCCTTTGCGAACCACAATGGTAGTAGCTTGATTATCCTCGTGAATTATCAAGTCAACAGGCCTCTGCAGCAACTTCTATAACTGAAGGGCTGGGACGCCTTCTTAGTAGAGTGAGTGCGCAAGACTCACGACCTCTGATTCGGTTGTGGACCGAGAGGTCGAGGTCTGTGAAGGTATTTGGTCCCCTCAGGGTTAAGAACCCCCCTGATGTTGATTTGACATCCTGGTGGTCACCCCGAAATCGGCATCGACATAGAGCTCGAGCCTCAGATCTTTAGGATCGTCTTGGCAAGAGGCTGTTAATCTATAGTCTAGCGAATATTGGAGGTACTGAATAAGCCTTAACAACTTTTTATCGTGTACTCTAGTCCAGGCCTGGACTTTAGTCGCTAAGAAGCCCTTTGCCTTGCAATCGGGGTTCCAGCTTGCATCCGGGGTTCTGGGTGTTCTTGCTACAACCACGCTTGCATTCTTGCTTTGCCATCCTTGTGGCGGTAATGGATGCATCCCATCCTTGTGTCGCTGCTCGCAGCAGTCTTGCTTGTATTTCGGTGTCGCTGCTCGCAGCAGCAGACGTGCGGCCGCAATGGATGCTTTAGACTGTCACTGTGTGTGGCATTTTGCGTGGCAGGTGGTCACAGGCCAGGGTCGCACTTTGGATAGAATGCCAGCTGTAGACCCTGATGGCACCCCGACGCGAACTCCCCAACACTAAAACAACAACCCCAAACATGAGGACCGACAAACAAAAATTAAAGCCATCCACCATGATGGCAACATACTCCTCACCATGGCATGAACAATAATTGAATGACACATCAGCTGGGGATCACTCGAAGTCAAGTGTCCGTTTAGTAGTTGGAAGGCTAGCTGAGACCTTCAACTCTATTGTGGATGCTCGGGTTCGAGGTGAGTTGGGATTTAAAATTGACACGGGGTGACACATGTGGCGCAGAAGTTTCCACATTGGTTATATTTATAATTTTAAAAATTATTGAATTGAGTGACCCCAATAAAACCGATCATCACCGAAGCCGACTCAAAGAGGTTTGGAACGTGATGTGCAATGATGCTCAGCCCGCATGACAGCTGTCACCAACTCAGCACACCATGTTTTCCATTCGCCAGCTCAGTTCTGAGGCCACAGTAAGTTCTGGGACGCTGTCTACTCTACATCTTCTATAGTAACATCTTCAGTTGGATGTTCTTCCTCTCCCTGTTCTGCATCTTGCTCCATTGCCGGGTCTTCCTCAGGAGCGCTCGTAGTAGCTGCGTTTGCATGCGCAGCCGGGTTGACTTGCTGCACAGCTTGGACCATGCTCTCCTGATAGCTGTCGGACACCAGACACTGCTTTCAACATTCAATTAAAACAACGGCGTTCAATGTTGACACTTAGACTTTACCATCAACGTTTTTTTCAACAACAACCCTCAGCTCCAGCTGCAATGAGACCCGAAAATTCAAAGTCAGCAGTAACTTTGTCAAGGCTCATAGAGATTCAAGCCATCTTGTTTGGAAGCGCCCCGTTCCAGTTCTTTACGCACTGCTTCCTTACTGACCATAGCGTCAGCGGAAAACATTTTTTTCATGTTGAATCAAACACGAACGACGAGTGTCTGCGATCTCTTCCAACTTTTGGTCAGACACACCATCCCGAGGTTTCACCTGACAGGAGAAAGAATTGGAACTGGAACCAGGACTGAGTAGTAACAAACCCCAAAGTTTCAAACCCAAACATGGAACATTACAACCGCCGTGTTCAAACAGAGATGTTAAAACATGGCCATGTTTTGAACCCCGACCCTAATCAACTCAGAACCGTCAACCTTGATCCCCCAAACTCCGTCTCTGTGGTAGATGTATTTGTTCACTTTGGGCGTAGACGCTGGGCGCTTCCTGCAACTT